TATCTCCAGCAGGGTGAATATTGCTTGAGGATTCCTCAACGGCACGTCGAGGATTTTCGCCTGATCCTTTACGTTCTCGCGCGCGGATATTCACTCTCGCCACCCGCGAGCCGTCTGTGCTCTCCGCGCGTACATTCACTATCGGCTCTACTCTCGCACAGCAGAGAGCGATGGTCGAGGAATTCCTCGACCGTTATTCACCCTGATTCCCAGCGTAGTCTCAGTTTTTGGTCCTGAGTGAATTGATCGAAAAAACATTCACTGAAGTACCAAGTGTGCAAGATCCTCAGAGAGTGGCTTGGCGTCACATGGGTGTCGCCATGTTTTACCTACGATGTTCAGGTTAATGCAATTTTGCCGTATGCTGTCGAATGGGCTGAATGTGGAGAATTCACGCGAGCACTGCGCGAATGGATTTTTGCTCTTCTGCTCATCGTTCAAAAACCGTTGATGCCTGACGTCTGTGCTGCTATTCGAGGATTGGCCAATCTCTGCCGGAGCTTAAGAAATTCTGTTGATATTGAACGGTACTACCAGATGTCTTACCTTATTACCGTTTGCTATTTTTAATTTTGTAATTTTAGGAAGGATGAAATCCGCGAATTATCATGGTTTATTACCATTGTCAGCGAGTACTTTGGCCAGACGGATCTGGCCGACTTATGAAAGGAGTGTTTTTATGGAAAAATTCGTTTAACTTTCACTCGTTGCCTGATCCTCATTGTTCTCGTTATTCCATTTTTTGACGTTATGGAATGCCTTTGACTGGATTTTGAGGCATTCATAATATTTTGTTTTTGATTGTTTTAACAATTTAAATCGATTTTCATTCATAAACGAGTGTGATGATTATTTGAAAATGGCCGCCATGGCAAGGTGATAGTCACGACTACAACGAGTTAATTCGTTGAGATCCTTCGAATGAGCCTCTTTGATGCTTGGCAGTTCTTCGAGTAATTTAATGAGCTGGAAATAGTCGGAAATTGATTTCGGCGAAACTACGTATTTATACATCTTATAAAATCCCATATTTAGTAACATGTGAACCTGACTAGGTTGGGGGAGGGTGACCTCGATCCGGAACCTGGTGCGTTGAACTTAAACATCCATACTCTAAGTCGGTTTGTTTGTGCTGGACTGCCTCGGCAGGCGAGAAACAATGCCTTTTTTCATCGACATTGGCAATTCACTTTGTAGGCAAGTACGCACTCAAAAATATGAGTTCCAAACCAAAAAATAGGACCCCTTCCTTGCTTGCCTTGGTGCGTGGCCGCATGGTGCGGACCTCATCGACTGCTGGCCCTCTCCAACTTAAATCCAATCACGATGCTATGTAAAACTAATGGAACGTGGCGCAGTATGGAAGCGGCTGAAAAGCGCCGTAATGCTGACTCTATACCTTTTGGAGTGGGATTTGAGTCATTACAAAAAAATCTATTGAAAGCAAGTTGGAGATGGTCAGGGATGCACGAAAGGAGAAAAAGCCAAGAAAATGGTCCAACCCAAAAAGTAGGACCCCTTCCTTGCTGTTGGTTCCGCATTGGTGCGACTCTCATCGCTGCTGCCCTCCCCCAACGCTAACGCTCTCTATTGCTTAAGGGATGGGAGGCGTCTCAGCCAGCAGCGAGGGTGGCATACCGCGCCGAAGGCGGCAACAGCGCTGATGGGGAAGACATGCTAGATGCCAGGGCATATTCTTCGATGCGACTTGGAACCGTGTCACTGCGCAACCTAGGAGCGTCCCACCTGTCTACTTCACGAAGAAATTCCTTCCTTCGAACCTTGTCTGTACGTGCGATCCTCCAGTTTAACCGCTCGCTAAGCAGTGGTGAAAGGATGTCGCCTGGAATCCTCCAGTTTAACCGGCTCGCTATCAGTGGTGAAGGGGGAAGTCGCCAAGAAGAAAAGATGAGGTTATTTTGCTGTTTGGAGTGTTCTGTTCGCTTATTGACACTGTGCGTACATAGCCCTGTCATGGTATTTTTTCCGGGCGGATTAGACGTCCTTTTAACACGTTGACGACAACGCGCGTTTTGGCTTCTTTGACCGCGTGGGACCGGCGCGATTTTGCGAGCGCCGCCGCCTCAGGTCCTTCAGGCGAATTTTGCATGGTAAATGAATAAAACATGATTGATACAAAGTTAGATTAGTCTTTTTCAGTGCGTAGAAGCGCCCCAGAGATATAGTAGTGAAAATTTGGTTGAAAGTCGGATGAAATAATAGTGAAAAAGCAAAATTTGTCAGAATCAGCTGCAATGAACGTCAAAAGCAATTTTGCACCGATTATTGCAATCCAAACACATATCTTGTCATACTTGAGGTTCCGTATTGACTTACACTACCCTTTAAATATTCACATTCATGAAAAGAAAATGTAAACAAAAAATCAACTGGGTTGACGATTTCGTTCGGTTCAGAAAACCTCCCCTAATTTGAAGCACACGTGACCACTCTAAGAGCGACTATGTTTCTATCTATGTTAAGGTTTTCTCTATGGAATGAATACAAGAAGCCTAAAAATGAATCACGTGTGCGAGAAAAAAATGAATGCACTGGGTGCAGGACACATACGTCCCGCGTTGTCCGTTGTGGCCTGCAAAGTGCGGGACGTATGTGTCCTGCGCTGTCGTCAACGTGTTAAAAGCTCCTAGATAACCGTTGATCCTGCATAGGTACCTTTCTATGAGTCCTCCGAGCAAGCTTACACCCCTTGTCAGCTCTGTTCCCTTTTCCGGAGACCCCTTCCCTCAAAGCACTTTGCATCCCCGAAGAAATAGCGTACGGCTCGATTTCCATGCCTTCTGCTTAATCCAAACTCCCATATGTGGCCAGTGCGTCGATTTCATAACGATAAGCTGAATTTATGGTGGAGTATGCAGCCAAGTTAGCCGCTTCACGACCGCGCGCATTCATTTAACGTTTAGCGAACGCGATCAAATCTGCGCGTTAGCTGTCATATGTTGCTCACCTTATTGCAATGCTCGTCGAACACCTCCACAGTTTGTTGGTAAAGAACAGCTCGTCGCTCAATTTGTTCTGTGGTTTTCGCTTGTTTTACATCGTGTTTTGCCATATCCATATTGGCTTTGGCTCTAAACATACACCGCCTGGCTTTTGGTCCTTTTCCTCTCTAGTTTTAGACTAATCGTTTTACGGATCTTGGAAATCCTTCACACATGCAGAATATCAAAGGCAAGGGCTGGAATTGGGCACGCTCACCGGTTCCACCTCCGATCGTAGTAGACAGACGCACGAGCGTCGAGGCTGGCCTTTTCGCGCCTTGACAGTGTGCGACAAAGGTGCTAGGAGTCCGCTTGGCTCGCAATCCACACCTTCGTCCGCAAACCCCGCCTCCCGCTTTCGGCTGCTACGACGCGCTGCGAGAAGAGCGCGCCGCAGTCTCGGGAGTGTAGCCGATAACTTGTACTGAAGCAACTTGAGCTAGCTGTTCGTGATACTCGTCCGAACACGCCCCTTCTTCATCCCAAGGTGGAATGCGGCTGAAAGAGAGGGGGTCTTCTTTCGGGGTCTAATGGGGTTCTTTTGCTCTCTTTTGTTTTCTAGATCATCTTCGCAACGTGAATTACTGCTTCTACAGAATAGCAGTAGTACATGTGGGAGGGGCTTTGAAGAGTGAGCAGCATTGTCAGCGGTCGTTGATGCTGTTGATTTCACACCACGCCTGAGTGGTATCAAGTCTGCATTGCAGACGTACGTGGTTGGTGGAAACAACGAGTATGTTGTGTCCAAAAATTAGCGGTACGGGTAAAGTAGCGTAAGTTTGAGACTGCTCGTGGGAAACTGAGGTAAAGCGCTGGCTTGGCTTCGGTGAAGGATAGGACAAATAACTCGGCGCAGGAAGGACTCTGTTTGAATGCGCCATACATTCGACTCCAGTTCAGATACTTGAGCTCATTCCAATCGATTTGGTCCGTACAAGGAAACATAGAAAGGAAATCAAAGTTTTTAACTTCTAACTAATTCCACCTAGACTATCTAATATGAGCGAGACTGAATCCTGGTTTCATCTTCGAACCAAGCCCTTCGTCGTGTCTTAGAAACATCCCTCCTCTGTGCTTGGATAATTAGTAGCATACCTCATTTCAAGATTTATAGCCTTTCCTTTTGTATTCTCTATACAGATCTATGATTTTTCTC